ATTGTCAAAATGCGCATCTAGTGCGTCAAAATTGATGCGTATATAATTTACATTCATAGAATAATAAGTACATGTTCCATTAAGTTCATCATAAAATATATAAATTTGTTGTTATTCTTAGTGCATCACAGATTTTCTGACAGTGCCTTTCGTATTCCACATATCTACAGCTTTGTAACAACAGAACCTTTTGTATAAAATTGTCTATGATCCTCTTCATCCCAAACTTCATAAAAATCCTTACAATAAATATACATAGTAGGTACCAGTAAATGTTCAACCAAGACTCTTTCTTTAGTCCTCACTAAGATATTAACAGTAGTGAAGGAGAAACTTCAAGAGTACTGTGCAACAACATATTTGAGAAGTGGTGTAAATCAGATGTGGATACTTAAAAATTCCAAGGAACTTTTGGAAAATTTGAAATTACAAGATTTTACCAAAATCAACAGCTTAAAAACTTACGACTTTTTAACTTTATACACAACCATTCCCCACGATAAATTAAAGTCCAATCTTTTTGATATCATTTACAGCTGCTTTATCAATAAAAATGGAACTCGTAAAATTACTTACCTTGTCATTGGCCATTTGCAAAATTATTTTGTTAAAAAACATTCTGATTGTACACACAAATACTCTGAAGTTGACATTAAAAAGATGCCTGAGTTTCTGATTGACAATATCTATGTGGTTTTTGGACACAAGACCTTCCAACAATCTATTGGAATTCCCATGGGTACCAATTGCACCCCGTTATTAGCAGACCTTTTTTCGTATTCATATGAAGCAGAATTTGTCCACAAAAAAAGAAGAAAACACTTGCTGTGGCGTTCAACTCGACATTTAGATATATCGACGACGTATTGTCAACTAACAATGGTTATTTCCATTCTTATGTCGATACGATATATCCCTGTGAGCTTGAGATAAAGGATACCACAGAGTCTGACACATCAGTTTCATATTTGGATATTTTACTTGAAAAAGACGTTAATGGTAATCTAACAACAAAGCTTTATGATAAACGTGATGACTTTAACTTTTCAATCGTCAACCTTCCTTACTTATGCAGCAATATACCTTTAACACCTGCGTACGGGGTTTATATCTCTCAGTTGATTCGATACACAAGAACACGCTCTACGTATGTACAGTTTCTAAAACGAGGTAAATTATTGACAAACAAGTTGATGAAACAAGAATATCAGCAGTCTCGTTTAAAGTCATCATTTCGTAAGTTCTATGGTCGATAAAATGACCTTGTCAGCAAATACAATTTATCATTGAGTCAAATGCTGACTGACGTTTTTCATACTATAATTGTTAGACCATAATTTACACACTGAATTGTCGACGGATTTTCCTTTATTTCCCGATCATGATAAGGAGCACACGGCGGGTGTGACCAGTCGGCAGGGGATGCTCACTCCTCCATGGCACCTGATCCCACCTCTGATGTTTTGGAGGTCCGTGTTTGTTCTGCTCCTATTTTGTATTGTTTAATGGACTTTTGAGCAAAATCAAATTAATGAATGATTTATATTAAGTAAGAGCAAGATAATTTTTTGACTACGATTTACCTATGATTCCTAAAAAAAATTAAACAAGGGACTTTCTAACATCATAGACAACTGCTTCCTCATCAAAAGTGGAACTGGAAAATTTTCATATCTTTTAAGATATCATCTACACAGTTAACATCGTTAAAAATTCTTTCTGAGTTTAGATACAAGTACTCAGAAGTTGATATTAAAAATATGAATGAGATCCTCATTGACACACTGAATTGTAATGTTTAATGGACTTTTGAGCTTGAATACTGTTCGTTATCTCCATATATTTCAATCATTAGAATAACAATATTTAGTTTGGAACACTTTTCTATTTACTAGCAAAACTAAATCGTTTTACAATAAATATTATTAAGTTTTATAATTTATATATTCTTTTTCTTATATTTACTAAAAAGTATATCTAATCCATCAAAACTACAAGGAATATCAAACTTTTCCAAAATGCGCTCTTCAATGCTTCATCAGAGTTCTTTTCCTTTGATACATCCATCAAATTGGTGATCAATTGTTTCTATGTCACTTGAACAAAATGTACATGCTAGTGAATTAATAAAATTCAATCTAAAAAGATAATGGTTTGTTGGGACAATTCTTTGTAATATTTGAAATTGAAGCCAGTGAAATTTAGATTCATGAATTATTTTGAAGGGAAGTTCAAATATTTTACTCCAATCTGCTTCACTAAAAAAACATTGTTTTCCTTCCATTTTAAAAGAGACCTGATGGCTCTTACTTGTTATTGATAAATATCTTGTACATATCCTTACACCTTTATTATTTCTATAGAATATTAAAATAGAGTTTGGAATATTTGGTCCAATAATCTTTAATCTTTAAATCTCCTTTAAACGTGTATACTTCAGTCTTCTTAATATAGCTCTCTTAAGACCATAATATTTAACAAATTTATTTTCACTTTTGAATTTACTATGGTGTCAAAATTGAAAAAAAGACTATCATTATCAAAAAGGTCATCTAAAAAAGACAAAACCTTCATCAAAATAGTTTTTCCAGAAAAAAAGATTCTTTGTTTATCATTATGCGTGGGTTATTCCATACAATGTCATGTTCTGATAACACCTGTCTTTTTCTTGGTGTATATTTGTAAGTCTTACCCAGGAATTAAGAACGTCTTTCCAAAAATTATTGGTTAATTTCTTTGTTAAATTTAGAATGTAATCTGAGCCCCTTATCCACAGGCTTCCTATCACTAAAACAATCAATCCAATAAATGATTGAACTTATGGCATGTCTTTTGTCTTCATAAACCTTGTACAAATATATTATATGTTATTGCAAAGGAGTTTCGAAGATATAAGTTAAACATTAAAGCCGTTCTTTGCTGGAGTACGACTGAGTCAACCATTTTTTTTTTTACAAGCCCTCTACATATTGACGTCAATTTCATATTGTGACGTCACAAACATGGAGCAAACATCGCAGGAAGGTTAAGGCTTCCCGTAGAATATCACGTGCACTCTGTGCCTTCACATCTCTGAACTACCAAAAAAATGACGTCATAATGGAAAATGACGTCAAGTCACTGCAAACTTGAGGTGTTATGACGGGGAGAGTGTCATGAACTTTACACTTTATTTCAAACTGCATGTAAAATGCTAGATAGCTATTGCAAAATTCACGGATCGTTAAAGGTTTTTTAAGTCTTATATGTCCGAATATTTTAAAAATACACCGCTTACCTACCCTTGATTGAAATTCAGCATGTTCAACATGCCTATGAAAAATATACTTTTGAAATGTACTCTGTTTTATACCCGTGGTTGGAGGTAAAATTTATTTTGTGTGTATAAAAGAGTCTGGCGCAGGTGATTAATGAGGATTAATCTGAGAATTTTTGTGGAAATCTGTAAGAAGAGGTTGTTCTCTAACTGAATCTTGCTTGGGAAAAATGTGTGTTGGCTTTGTTTTAATACAGATTACGATATTGTGTGGAAAATACCCTCAAATTTGTAGGTAAGTTAAATTTCTCAGGAAATATTTTGTATCTTAGTAATACTATGACTTTTCCCAAGCACATTTCGGATACACAAAGATACGATGAGTTTATTTATATAACAAAATGTTAATAATTATTGTGTTAATCAGCTGCGCCGAAGCGATTTATATGGAACACTTCAAAAAATTATAAATGACCGTCATGTGATCAACAAAGTAATGTGATATCATAACAAATATGTTAATATATAGCCAAGGAAACCCTCTATATAAATTGGGAGTACTTAAGTTCAATACTTATAAATTAAAAAAAGGACCGACCTCGCAGTGACATATTATGTTTTAAGCGCATTTTAAAGCTTCGGGAAGCCTTAACATAGTTGCGATTACGTAACATCTTCTATTTAAAGAATATGTCTATGACTATGTCTGTGCCAAATTTCATTTTGATCTGAATCGTGGGTTTGTAATAAAAGATATAGTTTGCGAACTTTTTGATCACCCCTCGTATAATGGATACGCTATTGTTAAAAGATTTTTCAGCTTGAACCATAACATATTGCAATTGTTCATGTGGTCTTTCTTTTCTTTTATCACTTCTGAAATGTTATCGGACAGTATGTTTAACTGTCTTTGTACAGAGGCACTATGAGACAAAAATTTAATCAATCACAATTTACCCTCACTGATAGTGACCAATATCAAATTTAATACCAAGCGCATCAAGTGGCGCGAAACGCCGCTCGACACTGCAAACTCCTAAAGCAACGGCTGAGCGAATAGAAAATTACAACTTTGCACATTGATACAAATGATTTTTTTTTTCGCTGCAAAGTTAAGACCCACAATGCAACACGAATGCATCTCACTACTATCTACGTGTAACAACAAAAGTTCACAAAATAATAAACTTGCCTTTATTTAATGGTTGCAGAAAAATTGTAGTTAGAATAAACGTTCTTTTTGAATATTTCATTTTTCAGACTTTTTTATGGTTATGGAGTAACATTTGACAGCATTCGACGTCACAGTCTAGAATTTCCAAATGTCTCGTGTGGTTTGAAGAGGTGGAGCAAAGTTAAAGTTGAATAGGTATTTAGTAATACACAACTGCGCTCGCCCGAATGGTCGTTCCGTCAACATACAGTGATATGCTATATTTCAATTTTGAAAAAAAAAAACAAAACAAAACATGAAACATGATCAATCTGATTCAAAGCAGAGATTTAAATGTTTTGTATAGATTGAAGAAGTAAAGTACATTATATTTGTGAACAATCGAGCATTACGATTGGCCGACCCAAACCGGCAGACTGGTTTTTTAAAAAGGTTAATGAACACCTAGATTTATTATATTTAGATGATTGGAAATAATATTGAAGAATATCAATGTTCAACCTTAAAACTTTATCATCGTTTCTTAAAGTCTGATAATATGCATATTTTTCAGGTATTTGATTGAAAAGTATGGAGGAAGTTCCCGATACTGCCCAGCATTTTATCGAATGTGAAACGAAACTATGTAGGAACTACTCTGATTTCTACTGCAATACCTGTCATCAAAAATTGTGTGACCTGTGCAGAGAGGCACATCAACAGGAAATCGACAACAGTCATGACGTTGTATCTTTTCTTGAGAGAAAGAGAAAACTTCCTTCAGAAAAATGTCAAGTCCACATTATTGAAGATTTAAGTGTCTATTGTGACGACTGTCAGACTCCTGTTTGCTTATTATGCGTTGCAAAATATCACAATGGTCATGAACAGAGTGACCTTGAAACTGTCTACAATGAAACTCTTCTGCAATGTAAAAATAAACTGACAGATATTTGGAAAACAGTTATTCCTATTGTTAAAGACAATTTACTTTCACTCAGTGAGAAAAGAGAACATGCGAGTAAAGAAATTGCCAAGTTAAGACTTCTCATGAAGAAGAGGGCAGATGAATTCAAGGAAGCTGTGGACTCAATATATGTAGACAATAATAAAAAACTGGACCAAATTAAAAATTCTATTCTAGATGATCTAGACAAGCAGCAGAAGAAATCAGAGGATTATATTAATGAACTGACAAATCTAAATACAGACTATGAGAGAAAAATATCTTCAATGAAACCCTCTGAAGTTACAAAATTCAACGCAGAAATTTCATTAGCTACTATGAACATGCCTAATCCCAGACCAACTTCACTCCCTATTTTTACACCAGGTATTCTAGATAAAGAAGAAATAGCCATACAGTTTGGTGAAATCAAAAAGAATTCATTTGAAGAGAATATTAAGAAAAATGCAATGAAACTTTCCTCGTCTGTCACATCAGTACAAAGCATTACTGTCCCTGAACTAAGTGAGATTTCTCATGTAACGCCTATGGTCTCTGATAAATTTTGGGCAAATGATTACAACGGAAACCTTATTCAATCTAACATGGAGGGACACATCTTACAGAAACTGAAAATCAGTTCAATTGGTGCCCGCTGTGTCCACGCAGTCACGATGAGGGGAGAACTACTTTACACAGATATAAGAAAGAGAACCGTCTACAGAGTGACAAGTGACATGACCAGCAGTAACCTAATTTACACAGATGACTGGAAACCAGTCGCCATTTACTCTTCTCTCATTAATGGACACATATTGCTGGGGATGCTCAGAGATGATATCAAGAAAATCGCTAGATACAGTAGGAAAGGGAAAAAGCTACAGGATATTTCGGATGATGAAAGTCAAACTGTGCCCCTCGGTATATTCTATATCACAGAGAACATTAATGGTGACATTTGTACATCAGACTACTGTAAGGTTGTGGTGTTAACCGGATCTGGAAAGTACAGGTTTTCTTACCCTGATCAACAATCCCAATTTAGTTTCCGTCCGTACGGAATCTGTACAGACGTCATGGGACATATTTTAATGTGTAATGGCTATTTTCATAACCATAGCTCCTGTGTCCACCTTCTGGACAAAGATGGTCGATTCATTTCTTTCATACTCTCACCAGTTACATGTCCACGCAAACCCCGTGCTCTCTGTATTGATGACCAACACAATCTCTGGTTGGGAAGTGAGAGTAGTTCTTCAGTCAATGTTTACAAGTATATCCAGAGCACGAACAAATAAAATTTTCAATAAGGTTGTCAAAATATAAAAGTTATTATATCTTGGTGCTATGTGTGTATTTTCGTTTCATTTTGAATTGCAGTAATTGGAAATAATTAGTATCAACATCTATTTTAAAAAATGAAATTAATATTGGTTATTTTTACGGTGCTGCTATCTGAAAACCTGACATGAATTTGATTTGGAAAGGATGCAGATTGAGGATTCACAAAAGAAACTATTATTAGGATTATCCCTTGTGCGTCCACTCGAACCTTTATTGACAGAATTTAACAGATCATTCTCGCAGTTGTATAAATATATATGAATAATATATGGAGATAACGAACAGTAATCAAGCTCAAACGTCCATTGAAACATTACAAATCGGGAGAAGAGCACAACTGACCTCTTAGAATGCTACGTAATGACTTTTTTGTAATGTAAATATTTATATTTTCTCATGATGATGAATCCAACAAAATTAAACTGTTAAGATAATGATTGATTCATTGTATCTTGCTTTACGAGAATTTTTCACGCACATAGAGATGTCACGATAAACCGGTGAAGGGCTTCAAATTTAGACCCTTACTTGGCACTCAAAGCCATAGAACAGTGAGGATTCTTTATCGTACCAACGCCTACAGTGACACGGGGCCTCGATTTCTAAGGTCTCATCCGAAAGACCCGCAACTTTCACTTCAAAGTGCCGAGTGCTTGGCGAAGGAACAGTTGCTACCTATTTTTATCGACTTAGGTCAGTCGCGGCCGTGATTCGAACACACACCTTCCGATCACGGAGCGAGCGTTCTACCGACTGAGCTACCATGACGGTAATTGTTAGAATAAACTTTTAAAAATCGGATGTGGAAAATATTGTATCTTTATTCTGAATAAATATTTTTTTATGTATTTTCCCCCTTATATTATTTTTTGGTTGCGTTTGCAACAGAAATATTTTCAGAAATTATTGTTCTCAGCCAATTCATTTTCTATTTTTGGCAAAAATGAGCGTCTATTACACAACATGTACCTACGTCCAATTCTTGATACAGAATACATCTTTGAATCAAAACACGTCTTAAATACAGGCAAACAAAATCTAAACATAATGAAATGTCAAAGAATTAATTGGGAGAAAGGAAAATTGAGAACAATGACAGATAGACATATAGAGAACAGATCAAAGTGATTACTGCAACATATGAAAATGCTGTACACTTTATTCATGACTTTATGATTTCGTTATTATTGTGACAGTTGTAGAAATCCTCATAATTTATTTATCGATGCTTTTTTTTTTAAAAATTAATTTGATCATATTTCTAGCCTCATTTATTTTCATTTAAATTGTAATTGATGAAAGCCCTATCTTTTCTCAATCAAATATTATAAGCAAAGATAAAATTATTGAAAAGTAGATCAAACTCCAAGGTCAAGGTAAGGGGATCAAAAATCATAAAATATTTGGAAGGGTCTTGTCACAGGTAATATACATGTATAATATGAAAACCCTATCTTTTCTCATTCAGATTTTATGACCAATTTAAAGTTATGTTAAAATTTTTAAAAGGTAGGTCAAACTTCAAGGTCAAGGGGTAAAAAATCATAATATTTTTGGAAAGGTCTTGTCAAAGGTAATGTACATGTGATGGTAATGTGAAATATGAAAGCCCTATCTCTTCTCATTCAAAATTTATGACCAAAGTTAAAATTTTTGTGACAGACTTACATACTGATGAATGAGATTTAATGTCCCCTCGCTTTCGAGAAAGCGGGCGACAAAAATAATTTATGGTCGCTAGTTCACCCGCACAAAATTTGCTGCTAAGTATTGATTAATGCTGCTATTGTAAGGAAAAGCAAGGAAAATCAAGAGAGATAAATAAACATCGTTACGTCTCTGTAACATAGGGAACATTAGAAATATTTGGACTAATTGTATATTGTAATATAACCATGGAACTAACATGCCTGTAATTGAAAGTGGTTTTAGGAATTGAGTTACATTTTAATCACGAAAATATTATTTTACTCACTTTATATTATAATTAACAAATAGAAGTAAAGTTAAGGATGTCCTTTGCACAGGGATTTAGTTGACAGTAGCGGAATGCTTTAAAGTAAAAATTGTTCTAAATTCATAAAATAACCATGATATAACACTATAGTTTAAAAATTTAACATTCTATTTTAGAAAGAAGATATGCTAGAACAAAAGTAAATATATGTATAATGATGCAGAAGAAACACGTAGTAAATTTAAATTTTTTCTTTTTGTTCGCATTTTTCTCTTACGATATCGTTCAAAGCTTATGATTCTATGGATTTTTAAACATCGTTTTGCAAATAATATGTGTGCTAAAGCTCGTATATTATTTCAAATAATTGAATAACATGCAATGATGAATTTCAAACATTCGAACAAAAACCATTCCAGACAACAATATGACCATTGACTTCATATAATTTAAATACTACGAGAATAGTAAATACAAAAGTAAAATGAAGCTATAAAAAGCTTAGAGTTCCTATCATTCAGATTTTAGTAATGGACTTTTGCGAGAACACTGACTTTTACAGTTGACGGCTTACTTTGACATTTAAACCTGCGTTATGTACGGAGGTACGGAATTGATAATAGATAAGGAAACATAAATAATGGTTAAAGTTATGGTATTAGGGGCATTTATATCATTTACCAACACCAGAGATATTGGAGGAAGAATAAAATTACTTACAATGCCTTAATCATGAGAGATAGTATCTGCTTTTGTTTTCATTTTCTTCAGGAACTAAATAATGTAGAAAAAACATTGAAAACAAAGGAAAACTTAGCAGGAGTTGGTTACGTTTGGAAAGGGAGGGGGTTGTTTGTATGTCAGTGCTTTTCCCTTCCTAGACAACGTAATATGAGTTTTGAAATGACCGATTATTATCGATTTAGTAAATGTTAAGCTAAATATTTATATTGCAAAAGAGCTTCCATATATTTTCCTGGTGTAAAAGTAAGTTGTGGATTGTAAAAGTCAGCGCTTCTCGCAGAAGTCCAATATTAGATTTAAATTGTGTGAAAATTGGAAAATTGAGGAAATTTGGACTGGAATGGTTAAGAGGTTTATAGATCAAATTCAATTATTAATTTGTATGTAACAAATCTATTCCATTCCTATCATTTTTTATTATCGGAAGAGTTCTTACTCGTAAACTTTTGTTAATAAAGAAAATATTGGTCATAATTGAGGTTTTTTCCGAGTAATACTCAGGGGCCTCCATCAAAAAGTAGGTAATTCACCTAGTTATTTGAAATTGAATAATAACACTACAATCAAAGGTCTTTGATTTACAATATGTAGTTCTTTGTGCTTATCAGTGGAATTTTTTTGTCATCTGAGTAAACGCCATCCTTTAGTTGAATATCATATGTTGATAAAGTTTGATGGTGAAAATACTACTGAATGATACGGTTAGCAAGAAGGGCATCGTTTAATTTTGTTAAATTTATAGCAATATTGAACTTATGTGGTATGTTCTTGCATCCAGTTATGGTTTGTACAGTGTCGTAGTCAAAATTGAAAATCAGGATAATATTATTAATATCAATCAAAAATGGTATATACATTGCTCTTTTAAAAGAAGGGATCAGATAAAAACATTAGGAGAGTAAATGTGAAATCTTTCTTCCTTTATTTAGACTATAGCAATCATTGCCAGCTAAGAAATATTGCATTCCTTCAATGGAATAAACAAGTATCATCATTACATGGTGGCATTTCAAGCAATAATTTCTTGTAGCTTTGAATGTATGACTTTATAAATATGAATAAATAAAACTTTTCCTTTCGAATGCTTTGTTTCCATAGTAACCTATGTAAAATGTGTTTTCCAAAATTGTTGATCATTAGGGATGTCAATTTTGTCAATAATTCATATTCGAATATTCAATGAAAGTATTCGAATATATTCGAATATTCGATAAAATCTGGTTTATTTTAAATATGCATCATCCTACTTTCATGAAAGGTTTAGCGTAGGTATTCTTATATTGGAAGTAAAATTGTATGAAGACTTTTGTAGGTGTACAATAAGGAATTCCGTTTGATATTTGCCAACGCATGTTTGAAATAAATATTTGATTTAAATGTAGAAAAGTATAATTTTAACAAATGATACACGTGTTTTTACAGTAGCTCCAACTGAGGAACCAGTCGTCCTACCAAAGGCAGAATAGTCGTATAATTTTCAGATTTCAATGCATGTAATTAATTACAATTATCAGCCTAATAAGGGATATAATTATAATCTTTGATACAGTGTTTTTAAAATATAAACAAACATTTTCATAGACAATTTTCCCAGGTAATTAACTAATTCCCCGATAATAAAATATAAAATTCAGGATTATGTACAACCCAAGATAATCAAGTAATTTACACATTTATTCTGAAATTGAGCCCTTTAATTACAATATTAATTACAGACTAATTCTATCGGAAATTCATTTAATGATCAATTAAATTTATTTGATAAGTATACGCTTCACGTCTTTTAGACATTCTAAGAAGGTTTTCATTTTGTCCTCGATTTTAGATCCGATGGTATTTAACTAATAAAAACTATGAAAGTACTTTTGTATTACATGTATATATAAAGCATTAATGTATAATTCTTTAACACCTTACTCAAAACAAAATAATTTAGTAGATCTATAAGAAAGTAGCGAAGGAAATCAGGCGATCGAAATTGATCGCTAGTAAATTAAACGGGGATGATTCTAGCAATGTTCTAATCAAAATTTATTAATCACAGTACTTTTTTTTATGAAATCTGAAAAACACCGAATATTCGAATCTTAAATTCATATTCGAATATCAACTCATCGAATGAATATTCGAATGTTCGAATATTCGTTGACATCCCTATTGATCATGCATTTGAGACACCAAGCCTTGAACATTTCAATACGGTCATTGTCACATTTCTGCATTGCTGCAAACGTTAATTATGAAACTTTAAAC